CTGTTTTTTGAGTTTTTAGTATCTGCTCACTGTTTGAACAGAATCCTAACCTTTTTTCCTGGCTTTAAGTCTAAGGCAATTTTTTCTTAACATTGTTGAATTTTGATTTATTAAAGCTCAAATTGCTTTTCTTAAAATTAAAAAGATACCAAAAAACCCTATTTAATGACTACAGTAAGCTATGTAGTCTTAGCTAGGTTCTACTTTACAATATATTCATCCTATTCACTGTGTTTTATGCCTAAAGTCAGACACATGTTCATAGGTATGTTTATATTTGCTGTACTTGCTATTAAAAGTATTTAGATTACTCAGGACCAGCAGTTAGCGTAATGGCTATGTCGCTGGACTCCCATGTAGTCGACCGTGGTTCAAGTCCTGGACCCGGTGGCTTAAACTCACTCCAGGCACCTGTGCATGCGTGCCCAAGATTCTGAGAGGAGAATGAAGGAGAAGGGACTGCAACGTGGCCATCCCCCCTGGAGGGTGATTTCTCACTTTCTGCCTCTATCTCTCTCTTTGTCTTTTTGGCAAGCGCACACACCCTACAGCAAAAACCTCTCCAAGAAAAAAAGTATTTAGATTACTTAAGATCCTTTGTGAATTAATAAAAGATGAGAAAACAAACAAATTATAAATGCTTATTAGTCAGGGATATTATTGATAGGTGACTAACATTAACAAACATTGACCAACATTGACTTGTTAATCAATATTCTTGGTCAATATTAGGGTATATTCATACAATCAAATTTATGTAGCCATTAAGATATATGTATGATCTCTAAGTATAAAAATGCTAACAATAATGTGTCTAAAAAATCTTTAGTGAAAAATAATAAATAGAATTAATGAAAAAAATTATGACATTACCTGATATGTGTACTTAAAATATTAAACTCGAAAAGATACGATGCAATAAAAGAAATGAAAGATAACATGTAAGACAATATACTGTGATTAGAAAAGAATTTGACAAATGGCAGATGGGAAAAAATAGAGAATGAGAGAAAAAGAAAAATAAGGAAAAGCTAAATATGCAGTAATAGATAAATACTCTATTACTAGTGGTAGAGCTTCCTATCAATGAAGAAGACCTCAATGCTATGATGTACAAATTCAATAAAGGTATCTACAAAGGAGAAGATGGGAAAGGAGCTAAGAAAAGATGAAAAAGAAAAAAAAATGATAATTGGTGTATAGAGTGGGAATGTCTACCAATAAATGTTATATCGAAAGAGTAAGCCAGAACAAATAATTAGAAAACCAAGCTAATAATTTGTTTTGTTTCAAAAAATATAAAAATAACTGCAACTGTTAATATTGTAGGAGCAACTTACATAAAAGATGCAGTAATGTTTCTCTCTCCAATGAGCATATGCACCCTATAGCAAAAACCTCTTTCTAAATTTTTTTTTTTTTTTGGAGAGGTTTTTGCTATAGGGCGTGTGAGCTCCTCAGAAAGACAGAGAGACAGAGAGACAGAAAGCAAGAAATTGCCAGTGGGGTGGCCACACCATAATCCCCTCTCCTCCATCTCCTCTTGGGATCTTGAGCATGCACACACATGTGCCCAGCGTGTTTAAGCCATCAGCTCTGGGACTCGAACCATGGTCAACTACATGGTAGTCCAGAGACACAGCCATTATGCCAATTGCTGGTCCCACAAAAATCTCTCTTTAAAACAAATTTTTAAAAAATGCCTTATGTGTTATTAAACCCTCAAGAAAGCACAGAGTAATAGATGTTATTATTATCTCCATTTTAACGTGCATATATTTAATAAGATTTCTATATAAATAAACTATTTTTCTTCGTATTTCACTAGAATACTGAAGGCATCAATGCAACAAATTGATAACTAATTTTTAATTAGTTAATTATTATTATTTAACTCAACCAGAGAAAGAGAGAGAGGGAAAGTAAGAAAGCAATCCGCCAGGTCCAGGACTTGAACTGCAGTTGGCTATGTGAGAGTCCAGCACCTCAACCACCATGCCGTCTGCCATTCGCACTGTGCAATCTTTAGAAAGTTTAGTTAATATAACTTTTTGAGGTTGGGGTACAGAAAGCAGAAGAAAGTTCATCTCATCTACTCTATACCTAGCTAAGATGTCAAAGCAACAAAGATACTGTCAAAATTTCAAAGGCACAGAAATTGGACAACCAAATGTAATTCTAAAAAAATATTGGAAAAAGTTTAATATGGTTTCCCAATAAATTAATTAAAATATTTTTTAAAGATGATTTAGCAAAGTAATAGAAAATTTAACATATATGTATCAATCACTGCCATATATACAAACAATAACCAGTTAGTATATATTATATAATGGTAAAAGGGCCCACTATGTTGTGTGACGCATGATAAAATGACTAAGAATAAGTTTATTAAGAGATGTGCAAAATATATGAAGCAACTTTAAACACACCTAAAACACCACACATCAAACCTCAACAAATGGGAAGACACAGAATATTCTTGGAGAGAAGACTCACCCTAACTGAACTGGGAATGAAGAAAGGAGCAGGTACAAAAGGTGGAGAAAATCAGGGTTCTATTCTGGTTGTGTTGAGTTTGACCCCTCGAAGGAGAAAGGAAATGGGAATTGGACAGATAGGTATGGAGCACATGGAAAGGTCAGTTCTGACATTATGAATTTGGGCACCCTCTGCACATGTGCCTTAGCAACAGTGTGTAGATGGCAAAAAGAAAGGACAACAACTTGGCCATCCCAACATTTATAACCTTAGCTGGTAAGCAAAGAGCCATCTCAGAAGACTGAGACCAAACCAAAAGACCAGTGAAAAAGAAGGAAAGACAGAGGGTGATATTCCTGGATGTGAAAAATAATCACATTCAGGGAGAAAAGGTTCACCTTGTATTCTCAGAGCCTGATCCACAGAAAGAATTAAAAGTATATATATTTGTTAAATGAACGAAAGTATAAGTAAATTAATTAAGAAATAAACATTTTCATAATATTATATATATGTATACGTGTGTATCTTTGTGTGTATGTGTGTGTATGTGTGTGTGTGTGTGTGTGTGTGTGTGTGTATGATCATGGACTCAAAAAACAGATTAATACAAATGTATTAATAATTAATAAATGCCTATTAATAAACAGAGCACTAATGTGCACATATTACACTCATTAGATGAAGCACAGAAGATCACACAACCTTCTCTTGTCTCCAAATGGGCCATCAGAACCAGCTCCCATAAAAAGAATTAGTCTCTTGTTTCAATTTTTGCCACAAAACCCTCTAATTGTTGACATCTAGAACTTCAAATGATCCCTAGAGGTCTTCAAAGAACCATTTGGCTATCAGTATACAACATAGAAACCAGGTGTGGGTTTCTGTGTTTTTTTTTAAGCATTTTCAGGGAGTTAACAGTGCTAAAATTAGACCTAGCATTACAATAATTAGTCTCTTGTCATGAGCCATTCTGAAATGTTATGATTGATTTCAAATATGCAGTCATTAAAGTAACTTTCATAACGTCAGCTATATTGTTAATCATATTTAAACGAGATCAGAATGGCAACCATATTGATTCATTTTCTGAGTGCACCATCTGTTACATGAGGGGACTTTAAAAGTTCATGGAAAGTAGAATTAAAGTATAAGTTTATTCCGGTGCAAAAAGAAATTGAAATCTTTGCATAGTATTTTTCAAAATATGTATTTATCATGAACTTTTTGAAGTCCCTTCATATATTCAGAATAATCGTTCATACTTTTTACTTTTCTTAAAACCCAGTTCAGAGCCTTGCACTCTGTAGGGTATGAATTACTTCATTCAAAGAAAGAAGCAACCCGTAATTGTTCAGTCTGCCAGAAATATGACTAAAGAACACGTATGTTCCCAACTGGGTATGATTTCTGTGCCTCTTCATATACTTTGTAATGAATATCTAGAACTTCCTCAAAGCAAACAAAATCCAGCAAACAAAATAAGTGTTTTTCATATATATTATAGCTAAAATGAAATCCCTCATGACAATTATAAACAATGATTGTTTCTTGCTAGTTTGTTAAATCTGTAACTATTTTTCCTGCTTCTCGTACTATTACTGAAGTACACCTTTAGCCTTTAACTTACACACACACACACACACACACACACACTCAAAAAAGTCTTTCGACTCCACTTCACCTTTGATGTACAATATTCTTTGCAATCCATAGTGCCCTGATTATCAGTGACTATGCCGTTCTCTTTGTTAGCACTAGGATGATTTGTGTTACCATGGTTTATAAAAATCTAGTGAATCACATATACACACATCACGTAGGTATAATAAAAATGCAGAATACAAATAATATTGTTTTCAAAGCTCATTCAGTAATGAAATTGAGGAAAAATTATAAATTTATCTTTACTTTGATGTGTCTTATAAAAAGAAATTCTCTTACTTTATAATCACTTGTTATAAGGTATATGTAAAACTACTTATGGATAGATAGATACTAACAACTATATATATGTGTGTGTGTGTGTGTGTGTGTGTGTGTGTATATATATACACACACACATGTGTTTATATATAATAATGTGTGTATATGTATATATATACATGTGTTTATAATATGAGTGTATATGTGTGTATATATTTTAACTTACACATATATATATATATATATACACATATATATACATATACATATACACACACATATACATTGTTGTTGGTAAAGTCATGATGCATTTTTGCATAGAAAACCAGAAAAATCTGTCATGACTTCTCCGACAACCTAGTAGTTCATCCATTCTAACAATCATTTCTCACTTGAATTAAATAATATAAAATGGGACATCTAATATGTGAAAATTTAAATAGATATTACTACATAAATGCTAAAGCAGTACCTGCATTAATTATAATTTTTCAAGAGGTTTGTGTGCTTGCCATCTTATATAGTCCCAAGAAAATATATTTCAGAAAACTATAAAGAAAAAAAGTCTAGCAATGGGAAGATAATTTATTTACCTGGATCTTCTATAGTTAAGTTCTTTATCAACCATTGAACAATGTCTGAACCTGGAAAAAGAAAAAAGAAAAACATGTACACATGAGAACATTTTGTTTATACATGTTAATTTTAAGAATTTTCCACTTTGGTACTCAAATTTGTAGGAACTTTTAATTGTACAAGAAGGATTATCACAGATAGAATACTGAAAATACAGATTATAAACACAAAGTTTTTCTTTAATAAACTAATGCACATTCTAGTAAACCACTAAATATGAAATATTACACAAAAATATTTAATATCCTAGTAGTAAAGTGATCTATTCTTTAAGTAAGTATTGAGTGTCTGCTATATTTCAGGAACAATTTTTATCTTGTCACAACTGTTACTTTGTAAGAGGATCTTAATTCACATTTCTAGTTGTTCTAACCTCATCCTCATGTCTGTTCTCAAGCCAACCCAAATTTGAGTTTGGTTTCTGAACACTTTAGTGTTTCAAGATTCTGTGTTTCTATAGTACCTGACTAAAGTGCTTTTCCACTATTTTCAAGACACTTAAGATTCACTGACCCAACAGAATTTTCCTTGGCCTTCACTTGTGATCATTGAATTTACAATATCCTCCATGGAACCTCACTGGAATCTATGTAGATTTTTATTACAGTATTAATTGCACCATGTCACAGCTGCTTATTTTATTGAAGTCCTAAAGTAAGTACCTTGAAGTAAGGTAGTCTATTTGTCTTTGATTATTTGGAGCATCGGAAGGACTTAATAATGTGTGATGAATAAAAAAATCTGAGTATATCTATTTTACTTCATACAGATGAGATGAGGAAGGGTCTTCAGAAATGTAATGTTTGAGCTGGATTTTGAAAGGTGTATTTAGATATATCAAAAAGAGAGCAATGTAGTTGCTAAAGGAGTTCATGTAAAACTTAAAAGGTAGAAAACATTCAATAGAAACCATTTATTTGCGTGCTTTGTATATAGTAATTTTGGGAATAATGCAAACGTGAAAGTAATGAAAGAGTTCACAGGATATTTAGCAGGTCTTGAATTCCAGGATAAAGAATTCGGATTTTGTGCCCAGCAAGTGGCATAGAGGTTAAAGCACTGGATTCCACATGGGCAGTTTGAGTCCTGGACCTGGTGATTTGAAAATTATGCTGCATGTATGTGTGTGTATATGGCAAAAATCCCAAGAGGAGAATGGAGAAGGGATTTTTGCATGTCCATCCCATTGGGGGGAGGTAGGTCTAACTTTCCCTCTCTCGCTCTCTCTCTCTCGCACCAGCACACACATCCTATATCACACACGCACACACACATAAGAATTTAGATTTTTTTCTCTGTAAGTTAGGCATAGAAAGAGACACACAATGTTTTTAAGCAGAAGAATGGCATTATCAACACAACTTTAAGGAGTGTGACTGTCAGTATATGTGGAATGCCTTAGGCTGGTCAGAAAGAAAGCAGGGCAGTCAACGCCCTTACCTGGTTGTGATCCAGGATTGAAGGGATAAGGCCCTGAACTACATTGGCAAAGGAATGCATTCAAACAAAATTAGAGACTTGTTTCAGGATATTATGATTAAGGAAGAATGAGTATTGTGAGTAAGAGAGAACAAAAATGTTTCTAGCCCAGGAACATGAATAAATAGAATGGTGAAACTATGCAGAAAAGAGAGATTCAGGAAGAGGAGTTAATTTGCTTTAAATATTCATCTCTGTTCATATTTGTTTTCAGAATAATTCATTCCTATATAAAATAGGAAAAATATACATGTAAATTGTTATGTACATGTAATAAACTGGGTTATAGCTGCGTGAACAAAACTCTAATATGAATCAAGATTGCTTTTTGACTTTTTTTCTTTTTCGAAAGATTTTTTTGCTATAGGATGCATTCACCAGAAAGACAGAGAAAGCAAGAAATCACTTCCTAGCGGGGATGGTCATGCCCCAGTCCCTTTTCCTCCATTCTCCTCTTGGGATTTTGGGCACACACATACACACACGCACACACACACACACACACACACACACACACATATATGCACCCAGCATGAGTTTCAAACCACCAGATCTGGGACTCAAACTGCAGTTGATGATGTAGGAGTCCAATACCTTAACCATCATACCACCTGCTAGCCCCACATTTTGACTTGTTTTGAAGCCTGACTACAGTTGCTGTACACCCACATCACATATCTGGCAAATGACTTACATTAACATTGGCAAAATAATTCCAGCTGTGTCAATTAAAACAGTTCCAAACTAAGATAAACTCGATGACCCTACTTGACGATGGTGCTCTAAAACTTGTGGAAATATTCATATCCATTTCAACATGCATGAATGTAAAAAGTAACTTCAAGTATTTAACTTGTATTTTTTTATAGCTGTTCCTTTTACAGCTGCCTCTGATTTAAATGCATTTGAGAAGACAAACGTATCTAAAATAGATTGTGAAGAATGTTTCACTAAAACAACTTGAAGGTAGGGAGGAAAGGAGACCACTCTTTAGTAAGTATTACAGACTCCACTTCATCTTTATAATTCTAAGTTAAATCAGGAATGACTATCCCTCTAAAAAAGTAAAGCAGAACTCAGTTTTTCAAATATTTATGTAGTGATGCTGGACCAATGTAGAATTCCAGGTACCTGATCTTATGCACTGTCTCTAGTCACTCTGCTCTTTCATCACAGTTGAGCATCAAATTGAGCATCCACATAGGAAGAGATACTGGGAAATTCCCATTCCTTAAAGATAGCTAAGCATTGGTTCCAGTGCTTTACATTTCTATTATCGTGCAAAATAATCATAGATGTGGAATAGATGAATACAGTGAGTTAGGGTATGCATTTAACAATAAAAAATTTCATAATGTTTCAATTTAAAACCAGTAATATGTTGGGATGATTACACAATAATTAAACCATTCCAACATCTGCTTACTGACACTGACAATTGGTTTTGTTTGATGAAATTGGTTCTTTTTAGAGCTGAACTGAGAATGTGTCCATGATAGAAATACCCAAAACTAGGCCAAGAAATAACATTTCTTGTTCCCTGAATTAAATGTAGTTTCTAATTAGGACTCTTTGTATTTCCTTTTTTCTGCTAGGGGAAAAAAAAATACTTGTTTAAGCTAGCATATTCTCTTTTCATAAAGCAGAAAGAATGAACCAAATTTCTTCTTAATCTTCACATAAGTAGTTGCTCATATCTACAAACAGCATTTTGTTTCTGAAGATTACATGTTCTGGCTGGCCAGTTTATCCTGTCCAGAGTCTTAAATGTGACTTCAAGCCATTGCCACATCTGAGGGTTCAACATATCTTGCAGTCAAAGGAGGAGACGATGTTAATCCTAATTCAACACAGATTTTGTTCTCTAGACAATCTCTTGATTAGCCAAGTCCCAGCAATGAGGAGAATTTTGTGATCACTGATTAATGGACAATGTCCTAATTTTGTCTGACTTAGGTCAACAGTGGGGACTAAAAAAGGCAAAACCACTCCCTGACTTCCAGGAACTAGGTGGGCACTCTTGGCTAGGTGTTGGGGTTTTCCTGTTAAACAATCCCATAGAACATTAACACCAGATAAGGTCACTCTTATGAATACAATGGATAAAGACAAATAACAAGATCACTCTTTAATCAGGTCTCTACACAGAAACTTGAATATGGTCCAAGCCATAAAATACCACATGTACCCCATCTTGCTTATATGGGTGACTACTGGTTCTTAACAATTCCATATTAGGTGTTGTCTAGTCTGCCCTTCCTGTAGATAAAATCTACTAAGATAATCAATCATAGACTTGCTCCTAGTTCCTGACAATGTTCAATCTAGCACAAAGCCCCATTGCCTTCACTAGCAAAGCCCAACTCTTACAACAGATTTTTTCCTAAACCCTTTCCCTGAGATTCCCCACAGTTCCCCATGCTGTGCATTCTCCCCACTGCAACGAGTAATAAACGAGATTTTCCCAACTATGTGTATTCTTGGTGGCCTTTAACTAGAGCACACTGATGGTTTCAAATAACAAATCGTTAAGGTCTAATACAATGGTAACAATGAAATTTGAGTTTCTTTACTTGGGCATTTTAGATTATAAAGAACAATCTTTGAGGGAAGTGTAAAACCATAAATGTACATAGACATGAAGAAATTGGCTAAAAGGTACCTGGAATCAAAGATAAGGGATGTGTTTGGGCCTTAAGGACAAATGGAAACAAGCTCTGATGTTACTAGACTCCTTCTCATCTTGGAGGGCATGGTGGTGCCCGCCCTATGGCAAAGACCTATGGAGGCTGAAGGATTGCGACATCAAATCCATCTCTCTCTCTCGCTCTCTGTGTCCTTTTCTGAACATCTGAATTTCTCTCTAAAAAGCAGCTTTTGCTATTTCCTATCCAAAGTGGATCATGAAGACTTAAAATGGGTCATGAAAGCTCCTGGGTTTACATCTTTCCCACCAAGTAGTTTGAGGCTAACATTTAGTAGTTAGTTTTCATTCTTCCTGACAGAGGATCTCAGCTTAGGAGCAGTATCTGTTCCTATAACAATCAACCATGGCAAGCAAAGTTGGATCACAGTGCATGAATATGGCCATAGTGGTGGGAGGTACAGATGGAGCATTTTTCAGAAAGAATAGATGATTGGCAGACAGAACAATGGGTACAAACTACAGCTTCCTTCCAGTTTCTTCACCTTTTATATTTTCATCAAAAAAGAAAAAAGCAAAAAAGAGGAGCCATGGAGATCAAAAGCATAATGTCAACTTTCAATGAAATAAATAGAATTTATTACATTTCTCAAAAGCAAAGTAGGAATACATTTTTCACGTATGAATAAAGCCACACTTTATATGCACTGAAAGAGCTATTCCAAAGAATCTCCTGGTGTGTATGTGATTGTGTGTTTTTGACTGTGTTACTTTAAAAAAAAATTGTTACAGGGCAAGTGTGCTCAACAGAGAGAGAGAGAGAGAGGGAACATGAGAAAGTATCTTGGGGGGATGGCCACACCATAATCCCATCTCCTCTGTTCT